GGGAGTGGAATGCCTCATCCTGGGAGCAGATGCGGCGGAGGCGAAGGAATTGGGAATAGGGGATGGCATTTTTGCAGGAAGGTGGGTGGGAGGAGGAGTATTCTAGGTAGCTGTGGGAGTCGGTGGGCTTGAAATGAATATCGGTTTCTAGGTGGTTGCCCGATATGGAGACAGAGAGGTCCAGGAAGGGGAGAGAGGTGTTAGAGATGGTCCAGGTAAATTTAAGGTTGGGGTGGAAGGTGTTAGTGAAGTGTATGAACTGTTCGAGCTCCTCGTGGGAGCACGAGGCGGCGCCGATACAGTCATCAATGTAACGGAGGAAGAGGTGGGTTTAGGGCCGGTGTAGGTACGGAAGAGGGATTGTTCCACGTAACCTACAAAGAGGCAGGCGTAGCTTGGGCCCATGCGGGTACCCATGGCTACCCCCTTTGTCTGTAGGAAGTGGGAGGAATTGAAAGAGAAGTTGTTGAGTGTGAGGACGAGTTCGGCTAAGCGGATGAGGGTATCAGTGGAGGGGGACTGGTCGGGCCTGCGGGACAGGAAGAAGCGGAGGGCCTTAAGGCCATCTGCATGGGGAATGCAGGTGTAGAGGGACTGGACGTCCATGGTAAAGATGAGGTGTTGGGGACCGGGGAATTGGAAGTTGTGGAGGAGGTGGAGGGCGTGGGTGGTGTCACGGACATAGGTAGGGAGTTCCTGGACCAAGGGGGAGAAAATGGAGTCTAGATAGTTGGAGATCAGTTCGGTGGGGCAGGAGCAGGCGGAGACAATGGGTCGACCAGGGCATTCAGGTTTGTGGATTTTGGGAAGGAGATAGAAGCGGGCAGTGCGAGGTTGGGGAACGATGAGGTTGGAGGCCGTGGGTGGGAGGTCACCTGAGGTGATGAGGTTGTGGATGGTTTGCGAGATGATGGTTTGGTGCTCAGGGGTGGGGTCATGATCAAGGGGGCGGTAGGAGGAGGTGTCGGAGAGTTGGCGTCCGGCCTCGGCGATGTAGAGGTCAGTGCGCCATACTACAGCTGCGCCTCCCTTGTCCGCGGGTTTTATGGTGAAGTTGGGATTGGAGCGGAGGGCTGCACATTCTGCGGGGGCGAGGATGGAGTGGGTGAGAGGGGTGGAGAGGTTGAGGCGATTGATGTCTCAACGGCAGTTGGAGATGAAGAGGTCGAGGGAGGGTAGGAGGCCTTGGGGTGGTGTCCAGGAGGAGGGGGTGTGTTGGAAGCGGGAGAAGGGGTCAGTAGAGGGAGAGTTAGGTTCACGGTTAAAGAAGTAAGCGTGGAGGTGGAGGCGGAGGCGGCGGAAAAACTGCTCTATGTCCAAGCGTGAGCGGTATTTGTTGATCTGTGGGTGGAGGGGTACAAAGGTGAGCCCTTTACTGAGGACTGACCGTTCGTCCTCAGTAAGGGGTAGGTCTGGGGGGATGGTGAAGACTCGGCAGGGCTGGGTGCTGCTGCCTCCTCTGGAGCTGCTGGCTGTGAAGGCTGTGGGCGGAGCTGCGCCGGCGTCGGCGGTGGGCGGAGTTGCGCCGGCGGTGGGTGGAGTTGCGTCCGCGTCGGTGATGGGCGGACCGGCGTCGGAGGTAGGAGGAGCGGGGTAGGCGGCGGCAGTAGCGGTGAGGGTGGTCGCGACTTCAGTGTCGGTGGCAACGGCAGCGATGGTGTTTGCTGTCCCGGAAGTGGGGAACCTGGCGGTGGCAGATGTGACGTCATCTGTGGGTTCTCCGATAGTGGCCTCATGGCCAATGGCGGCGGACCCATTGTGGGGAAGGTCCTGGGTACGGCTGGGGATTTGGGGGGTGGAGGAAAGCCCGTTTTGGGTGGTAGGCACCAGTAAGTTTACTGTACTTACGGTTTTTAGTGTCCAATAAAGCTGAGTAGAATTGGGAGTTCAGGTTGTGTGATAGCTAGAAAAATAGCTAGAATTGTTCTCTGAGAAATAGAGGAGGCTAGAGTCACGACTATTTAGGTGTATAAAGTTAAGGGCTTTAAATAGTACAAATAGCCAGGTCTTCTTGCCCTTGGTTAAGGAGACATTCTTCTAGAGCAAGAGTTAAGAAGGGAAATATTTTTAACCCTGTTCTACCTCTCTGAAATGTCATAAGACATTTTTTCTGCATTTAAAGGTACCATATAAATATCAGTTGTTATCATAATAGCTGTAGATGCAGTTTGTAATTTTTTGTTCTCACAGGCCACTGCATGTTGCTGCACGCAATGGGCTAACGGTAGTTGTGCAAGAGCTTCTGAGCAAAGGAGCTAGTGTACTTGCTGTAGATGAGAATGGTAAGTTTGTCTTTAAGTCATTTTTTAAGATCTTCAGGTGAAGCCTTATCAGGTCCTGGCAATTTGTTGGGTTTTAGTTCTCAACTCAGCACCTTTTCCCAGGCAATTGTACTTCTTTCACCTCTGTATTTACAATTATTTCTGGGATATTATTTGTACCTTTAGTGAAGACAGATGCAAAATACGTAAACATACCAATTAGGAGCAGAAGTAGGCTATTGAGCCCCTCAGGCCTGCTCTGCAATTCAGCAAGATTATGGCTGATCTGTTTGTGTTCCAAATTTCACATTCCCATCTGCCCCGATATCCCTTGCATAACAAGAATATATCTCCACCGTAAAATATTAAGTGGCCCCATGTCCACCACCTCCTGCAACAGTGTTTCAACGTTGCACAATTCTCTGAGAAAAACATTTCTCTTCATCTCAGCCCTAAACGGATGACTCCTAATGTTAAAACACAACCCACAAGAGAAAACCTCCAATGGAAACAAGCCAGACTTTCCACTCTATCCTTGTTAAAACAACCCACTCATTTAAGTATCAAACCAGTAAGCACCCTCTAAACTCCTCTGCTTTGAATATTTGTTCAGTTCATCTGCCATTTCTGTTTTCCATGAGTGATTCCCTGGACACTGTAGAGGACCAAAGCTTGCTTTACTTTTTTTTTAAAAGTAGTTATAGAAACTTGCTATCTTTTTGTTTTATATTTCTCACCAGCTTTCTCTCATACACTAATTTCTCCCTCATTTTGAATTATTCACTGTTTGCTGTTCTTTTAATAGTCTGTCCAATCTTTTAACCTGCCATTCATCTTGTGGAATTGTATACTTTTTCATTCACTTTTGTAATATCCTTAATTACTTTTATTAGCCACAGCTTTTGGGTCCTTCGCTGAGTCTGTTTTACTCACTGGAATGCTGAATATTATGAAATATCCCATAAAAGTCTACTACTGCATCTACATCTTTACATCTTTAAGCTAATTTCCCAGTTCAGTTCAGCCAGCTCTGTCTTCATGCCCTCGTAATTGCCCTTATTTAAGTTTAAAATAATTATCTCACGCTTACTCTCTTTATCCTCAAACTGCCTCTAATTCTTTCCTCAGATTAGAGCCATCACATTCTTCCTTCAGTTTTACAGTGACGTGTCAATCTCGCTTATAGCGTATACCCGAGTGCTGGTTGATCTCGTGTAAGTGTCAACCCCTGACACATGACCAAAATCAATCAATCATTTTTCAAAAGGAGGTGACACTGGTGCAATGCTAATATCACTGCTAGTAATCCAGAACACCAGGTGAATATTATGGGAACATGTTTTCAAATCCTACCATGGTAGATAGTAAAATTCAAATTCAATAAAGATCTGGAATAAAAAGTTAGCCAGCGATGACTATGAAGCCACTGTTAATTGCCTACAGTTTGGCCATTGTGCTATAGTAGCAGTAGAAGAGACTAAACTGCACCCTCTCCAAAATATTACTCGTGTAAAAGTTTAGTTTCTAAGACCAGAATTTTAGCCAACTAATAGAGGGCTGTCAACTTTTACACTTGTTACATGGTACATGCTGTCAAGTTTCCCCAGTGGAACCTCTTGACTCGGGTGAGAGTACTACCACTGCTCCAAGGGTTGCTGTATTCGCCAAAGAGCATTTGTAGGTTCTTGGCTGGTCATTTGTTCATGTAGCACTTGATTAGAAATTTCCTTGAAACCTTTGTTGTTGACACTGGGCATATAACCGTCCATTATTTAAGGAACCTTAATTGGTATTGTATTGACGTAGCCAGCAACAAAACTGCAGTAGATTTAGACATAGCTCCAAGAGGAAAAAAAACCTTGTTCTTTAAGCAGAGGTTGTTTCCTTCATATGCTGAAACTGGTGCTCTACCGCTCAGCCACAAACTAAATGTAATTTTGTGCTTTCTTCCTGCCTGTTGACTGCAGATTCTTAAAATAGTCTTTATCAACGTTATAGTCTCGTTTTTAAATATTTCCATCACAGTTCTATGTTTTTGTATTTGTTGTATTTACCTATATGAACTATAATGAAATTTCATATGTTTCAAGTATACTGACTTTTAACCGGTGATTTTTCATAATCGTCCAATAATTGTACAGAATTACTTTGGTAAAAGAGCAGAATAATCTAACTAATGTGACTTTTAAACCTTGCTGTTTTAGGATACACGCCTGCATTGGCTTGTGCTCCAAATAAAGATGTGGCAGACTGCTTAGCGCTCATTCTGGCCACCATGATGCCTGTTTCATCCAGCAGCACTTTACCCACTCTCAGCTTTAATGCCATTAATCACTACAATAATCCTTCGAAGACTGTGTCCTTTGACTCTTTACCGATAATGAGAAGTGATCATAGCTCTTTCTGCAGTTTGAACAGTATAGGAAGGGAAGATGGTTACCCTTATACTGAAGACGATGAACTAAATGATTCTGATTCAGAGACCTACTGAAGACACTGACTTGAACTTTCATGGTGAAAGCCCTTGAAGCATGCCCACAGCTGGATGGGTTTTTTTTAAAAAAATGAACGCCTTCTGAACTCCTTCAGCCAAGCGGAGCAATTACATTATAGGTTTAAAGTTGAATTTATCAAAACAAAAAGGACACAGAAGAATGCAGGTCTATGGAACAAGAAACAAGCAGCTCAGAGCTTGTAAAGTTGATGGATGCCAATGTTATGTTGTTTTAATGCTCTTTATTTCCAGTGCCAGGATCCATTTCAACAGCGTACACTGGTTAATGGTTTGAATGAGAAAACTTTACAATGCTGGGTGGAATAGCACTACCTAAAATGAATGGGGACATCCAATCAAAAATTCCCAAGTCTTAGGCATTATTGAATTTAGTGAAGAAAATGGTGTAAAAAGATTGGTGTATATCACATGATTTGCTTGCATGATGATTTGCCAAAGGGACCAAACAAACTGATTTTAAAAGAATAATCTTATGTAAAAATGAAACACAAATATTTAGAGAGCTGTAATTGATTCTCTCTCAACCTGCAAGTTTAAAAACTTTGCTTTAACAGTATTAAAGTAAAACCGTTCGGAGATTTTGATGTACATTTGTTGATCAATTCTGGGTCTTACTAGATTTGCATGACTATAGTAAAGGCATTGTGTTAGATTGGGGAGGGAAAGGGAAGAGAAAACTGAAACCTATTTTTGAGCCAACACAAAATGCCCCTTTCCTACTTTTCTAGTTTGGCATAAGACCAGTGGACATGGTGCAGTTAGGATGATGGTTAATTAAATATTAAAATCTACCAAGTTGTTGTGGAGAACCACCCATTCTTTTTGCAATTTTTCAAACCCAAATTTTACCAGTGTATTTTATAATTGATATTTTAAAATAGATTTGTAGGTGTAGAAGGCAACTATACCACAAGTCTCAGAAAGTAAGATTTCCTGGATTTTGCAATATACTGGACTTTAGTTTTTAATTGACATTCACCTTGTAGATGGTTAACTGTATTACAGTTATTTGAGCTACATTTGTACAACTGTTTGTTTGGTTTCCAATTCTTCAGTGCCTTCATTGTTGTCTGTTTCATTGTTAGGGATATACATTCAGGGAGGAGACGTGAAGTCATTATAAGTGAGACTTCTTTCCATGTTGTGAAGTTATTTTTCAACACTCATTTGGCACAGCCAAAATGTTGCAGCTCTTCAGTAATTTGCTTCACAATAGTTTGAACTGGTTTGACAGGTGTTTGGGAAGAACATATCCAGAATCTCATGACAGGCATATGCTTTCAGTTGAAGCAAACAGTACTCCTCATTCCGTTTTGCACAATTGAAGCACAATAGCTGTGCATTTGGTTCTATAAAGTAAGAATATGCTTTGTTTAAAGGACATTTACCTGTTACTTCTCAAAATGAAACAGTATTTTCTTTTAAGCACACTACTTGGTACAAATTAAGTTCGTTAAAATAGTGCTCCTGAAATGTATTCATTCCAAACAGCAGGCCTGGAGTGCACAATAAATGGCTGATTTTGATTCAGTTTAGTCCTTTTAAATCACTACAATCTTAAAAGTTTATTGCTGCATTTCATTCAGCAGTTTCTTTACTTAATTGTTTAATGTCAACTACTGTATGACTTATACATATTTCACCACTTTTTTAGTTGGTGTGACTTTTCAGCAGTCATGGAAAAAGGCCCTTAAAAAAGCAGTTCCATCAAACCATGGTATTTTAATAACTGGAATCCTTTAAAGTGCAAACTGATTTCTCAAAGTTTTGGAATATGAAATGGGACAAAATCTGTGCTGTTTTAATGTATTTCTGATTTGTTTTATTTCTTTTGAAGAAGTTAAGATTATAGCATGTATATAGAAATTGTGACTGCTTGGTTACCTACCTGCATTCTTTAAATACTTTGCTGAGATTATTGTATATTTTATGGATAATAAAACAAAAATGTGAGTTGTATGTAATTAAGTGTTGCATTCTGTGTATTTGTTTTAATCCCAGCTGATGTTATTACTGGACAAGTCAGATCCCAGACTGAAATCTGTCTTCATAGATCATATTTTTTTTAATAGATTAGAATAACCTATACTGTTTGTATATGAACACATGTTTAAAGATGTTGGAACACATGGTTAAAAATACAATTCCATTAATCCCAGCACTACACCATTGAGTCGTCATGCCAGAGAATCCCATACAGGGTTTGGCTTAGCTGTGGCTTCAGTTCCCTGTCCTGATAATCTGATAGCTTCTACCTTGATTTCTCAGCTTCCCCTTCAAGGTTTTAGCCAAACACTTCTGGTCTAGAGCTTTTAAACTAAGCTACCTGCACTGATGTAACTTCTTCGTTAATGGTCCTGAACTACCTCTCTTTTTCTGGACCAATTGTTTTACATATTCATCACCCAATACCTCTGCAAATCTGCCCAAACTGAAAATAAAAAGAATTTTTTTCCAAATTATCAGTGTTTTCCCTAAATTCCAAAAAAAGTCCAGAATCTTCTATCTGAAAATCTTGCATTACATTGTTTACTTTATTCACTCAAACTTTCCCAAAGTAAACCCCATTACTGCCCATAAAGTTTCTCTCTAATAACTGTGCTTTAAAAGAACTCATCATCGTTAGTGATATTTGCACATTAATCATTAAACCCCTTCAGATAGAAAAAATCCATTTGCCGCATGTCCAAAATTCAAAAATTCAAAATAAATGATATTTAAATATATATCAGTCTTACATCACAGTATTTTCTTATAATTTTTAGAATATAGCTAAAACTAAATCCTCCATGTTTTGATATGTAAGCTGACAACATCTAGCTTTACCATTCACTTACCGTTGATTCATTGTTTGTGGCTACGCTGTCCAGCTGCCTTTCTGACATTGGTTGAACTGAAATTTGAAGCTCAATTGATCACTTAGACTGTTTACTTCCACCTTCAGCATGTAGCTCTCTCAAAATTGAGGACAGCTATCTTCTTAAACTGTTATAGTTTATGTGGTGTATGTACATTTATAGTACTGTTAGGAGGGAAATTCCAGATTTTTGACTCCACAACAAAAAGAAAGAGTGATTGTTGCGGTCAGGATGGTGTGTGGTTTGGAGGAAAACTTGGAGGTAATGGTGTTCCCATGCACCTGCCGCCCTTGGCCTAGCTAATGAAGATTCTGGGTTCTGAGGTATTGTCATCAGAGATTTACTAAGTTGCTGCAGTGCATCTTGTAGATGGTGCACATTGATGTTAGTCTGTATTACTGGTGGAAGGACTGAATGTTGAAGGAGGAGAACGGATATCAATCAGGCAGATGCTTTATTCTGGGTGGTGGTGAACTTTTTGATTGTTGAAGCAGCCCTCTTCCAGGCAAATGGAAAGTAGTCCATTCCACTGCTAACTTGTGCCTTGTGGATGAAGGCCGGGCTTTGGAAAGCTATAAGACACCATAGAATTCCTGGCTTCTCATCTGTTCTTGTAGCCACAGTATGACTGATCCAGTTAAATTTCAAGTCAGTGGTAACCCCCCAGAGTTATTAGTAAGGGAATTCAACAACAGGAATGTGTGGAACCCCGAGGGATTTTGTGGCACAGTGGTAATGTCCCTATCTCTGAGTCAGAAGACTCAAATTCAAGTCCCACCTGCTCCAGAGGTGTGTAATAACATCTCTAAACAGATCAATCAGAAAATATTTACCCTGAGAAACTCTTGCAGTGATGTCCTTGGATTGAGATGATCACTTCCTGCCACAACTATCTTCCTTTGTGTTTGGGAATGGCTCCAACCGGTGAATTGTTTTCCCCCGATTCCAAGTGACCCCATTGCTGGGTCTCCTTGAAACTTCACTTGGTCAAATGCTGCCTTGGTGTCAAGGGCTGACATTGACATTGTCACCTCACCTCAGACCCAAAGTTTAAAAGAATAAGTGGTAACTTGATTGAAACATTCAAGATTCTGAAGGGCAGTGAGAAGGTAGATGTTAGGAAGATGTTTCCTGTTTGGGGAGAATCTAGAACTAGGGGTCACTGTTTAAAAAAACTAATCGCCCATTTAAAACTTGTGAGGCTTTGTACCTCTCTTTCTGAAAAGGTGACAAAAGCAGAATATAGATTCTTGTTAAGCAAGGGGTTGAAGGTTATCAGGGTAGGCACGTAGGTTGGCACTTCATTTTTAGGTTCACCTGATGCCACTCCTGGCATGTCCTCCTGCTCTCTGCTTGCTCAATATTGTTGATGTTTTTAAAAACACTAACCTTAACGTAAATGATGTTGAAAATAAAAGCTCACAATTGGATCTTAATTATAAATTACTGAAATGGTACTCCTTTTTGCAGTTCTGATACTTGGCTAATTTTCTCCTTGTTTCAACTGCCTGTGCACAGCAAATCCATTTTGTGGCTCCTTGACTCGTTGTTTCCTCCTTAATACAGAATTGCTTTTTCATGGAAGTGTAAACACTGGAAACACATTTCCTTGGTACCATATAGGCTAGCCTGCTAAATCATCTGAGAATTTTTATGGGAGTGATATGAAAGTAAGGAAACACTGTGTCCTGTTGACTATTCTCTGCCAGGCATCCTTCCAAACACTCCTCCTACAGGTCACTGGTCTCTGACAGGACAATCAATTACATTCAAATAACTTTTTCTCCTATTGAAAATGATCCATCTGGATCTGTTTCCAGAGCTCAGTCTTAATATTTCTGGGCAACTTTAGAGGCATTTATAAGTTTTAGCTTATTTGTTCAAGACTCAAGCCTGTTTTTCTTAGTTCATGATCTATCATGTCACTGATTCCTTGTAATGTAACTTCTTTGCTTGAAAATAGCTTGCATAAATAAAATCACAATTCATATTTTGTACCTTCCTGTCCCTATTTCCAATGGAACAGTTTTAGTCCTTTTGGTATCCTTTGCTTTAATTTTTGACTTGTCTCTGGTTATATAACACTGCCACCTTGTGAGCAGAAATGCAAGTTAAAAAGTACAAGGTGATGATTTTACTGGTTTGTAATAAGTAATTTCTAACAAGAATTTTTTCTCAACATGAACAATTAATCAGTGCCTAGAAAGGTCAAGATGCTTCAAAAGAGGTCAGTTTGCACACAAGGTAGCACCTAAGCAAACACTTTCTTAGCCGGTGAGACTTGTACAGTGTATTGTTTGTAAATGCAGTTTGATAGTGATGCATGTAAAAGACTGAATAAAATCCAATGTTTCTGGTTGTTGACCTTCTCAAGTGTAGATCAGTGTAAGTATCTGTTGTAATGTCCAGATTTCTTTGTTTGCGATTAGACCTTCCATCTCAACCCTACAAGGTTGTTGAAGAATCTCCACCACTACTAAATTGACCTCCTGAACACTGCTGTCAGCAATAGTGAAAAATACATAGACAATGTTTCTTCACTACTCATTATTATAAAGACAGCAGTGTATTCAAAACCTTAGCATTTCCTGTAACTGTAATTTCATCAGAATCACTCAAAGTCTCTGATTTTTTTCTGAACACTTTCGGACGTTGTGGAATTGTCCAGCAGGAGATTCAATTTCCCAGGCAATTTCTTTGGAGAATACTGCAATAGGGATTCTGCAGGATCAACAAGAGTAACTCCCATCTCTACCCAAGTGACAACTGCCTGACCTGTGGAAAATCTGTCCCAAAATTCTTGGGGGTTGACACGGTAGATACAGGGAAGTTTGGGAGAATCTCTAACCAGAGGGTATAATCCAAGAGTGAGGGGATGTCCAGTTAGGACAGAGATGAGGAATTTCCCCTCTCCGAGGGTAGTGAATCTGTGTAATTCCTTACCACAGAGGGTTGCAGATGCTTCGTCATTCAGTATATTCAAGGCTGAGAGATATTTCTAAAATCAGGCTGGGAATCAAGGGTTATGGAGAATCAGCAGGATAGTGGAGTTATCAGATCAGCCGTGACCGCATTGAATGACAGAGCAGAAATGGTCTACTTTGCCTCCTACATCTTATGGTCCTATGATCTTATGCCATCAAGTCTAAGAGACATTTTGCACATCGCACAAATGAGGAATGTGGTATATATTCATTTCAGTGCCAGTCTGTTGCCAGTAATATAAGCCCTATGTCTCAATCATTGGCAGATCACATCAAACAGTAAGCTCCTTCAATAGTTTACAAAAACTATGGTACTGATTGTACCAAACCACTCTGTTCTTGTAAAACTCACAGCACAGGCCAATACTAGATGTGATTATGAAATCAGACTAAGTTTTAAAAAAAGGGACTATTTAAGAGCTGACTGTATGAAACATCAGTTTGGCCGCACTTGGAGTATTGTATACCTATATACAGTTAGAATATAAAAACTAGAGGTAGACAAACAGGAGGCTGGAAGAACACAGCAGGCCAGGCAGAGTGTGGAGGAAAGGAGCAGTCAACATTTTGGGTAATACCCGAAACATTGACTGCTCCTTTCCGCCAGATGCTGCCTGGCCTGCTGTGTTCTTCCAGCCTCCTGTTTGTCTACCTCGGATTCCAGCATTGGCAGTTTTTCTGTCTCATATCAAAACTGGAGTTGTGTGGCAGTTTTAATATATTGATATTCATAATAAAATGTTACAGTTATGAATACTCAAACTTAAGACAATTATTTTTCTCTGATTCATTATTTAAAAGTCACAATTTATAGCAGCTGAAGGAAAAATAAATGGGTTTTCTTCAGGTTTAATGTGAGTTTTGACTGCAAAGAGAGGCAGCACTTGAGCTGGTGGAGATCTGATCATTTCTCTGTATCTTGTTCCTAGTCCCAAGCTGTTCAGTTATCCAAGAACCAATCACATCATTATTGTCAAAAGGACTTTTGCCTGCCTTCAATATCTGGTCACTTGCCCAGTTTTTGTTGCAAACCAGAGCTCCATCTGAATATAAAACCTCTCCGCTTCAGTTCATCTGCAACCATTTCAATTGTTGCTTGTTCAAATGGCCATATAACTGATTGGTTTCCAGCAGGGTCTGGTTACTCACTTTTTCAATCCTTGCAAAACACTAAGTTAGAATCATAAAGTCATAGAGATGTACAGCATGGAAACAGACCCTTCGGTCCAACTCGTGCATGCCAATTACATAATCCTAAACTAATGTTGTCCCATTTGCCAGCATTTGGTCCACATCCCTCTAAACCCTTCATATTTATCTACCCATCCAGATGCCTTTTAAATGTAATTGTACCAACCTCCACCACTTCTTCTGGCAATTCATTCCATATATGCACCACCCTTTGTGTGAAAACAATGCCCCTTTTAGGTCCCTTTTAAATCTTTCCCCTCTCACCTTAAACCTATGCCCTCTAGGATTTGGACTTCCCTACCTTGGGGAAAAGACCTTGACTATTCACCCTATCCATGCCCCTCACTGAGTCAGAGTCATACAGCACAGAAGCAGAGCCTTTGGTCCAACCAGTCGATGCCAAACAATAATCCCAAACTGAACTAGTTCCACCTGTCTGCTCCTGGCCCATATCTCTCCAAACCTTTCCTATTCACATACTTATCTAAATGTCTTTTGAACATTGTGATTGTACCACATCCACCACTTCCTCAGGAAGTTATTCCACACATGAGCCACTCTGTGTTTAAAAAAAAAAATGCCCTTCATGTCCTTTTTAAATCTTTCTCCTCTCACCTTAAAAATGTGACCCCTAGTCTTGAAAACCCCATCCTAGGGAAAAGACAGCTACCATTAACTCTATCTATTATCCCTCATGACCTTATATATCTCTAAGGCCACCCCTCAGCCTCCGACATTCCACAGAAAATAGCCTCAGCCTCCCCCATAGCTCAAACCTTCCAATCCTGGCAACATCCTTGTAAATTTTTTCTGAACCCTTTCAAGTTTCACTTCCTGTAGTAGGGGACCAGAACTAAACACAGTATTCCAAAAGTGGCCTAACCAATGTCCTGTACAGCTGCAACACAACCTCCCAACTCCTATACTCAATGCACTGACCAATAAAGGCAAGCATACCAAACATCACCTTCACTATCCTGAAACGTTTCTCTCTAATTTCAGCAATTTAAAAACACAAAAATAAAAAGGCACAGTTTCAGGTTGAGTTGGGAAGCTAACATTTTATGGTTGATTTACTTTAGTTATAATCACACAATTAAAGTATATTTATTGATTAACCTAATATTATTATTCTGCTCAGCCAAAACCAATGCAGATCCTGGCACAATAACATCATGTGACTCTGCTAAGTTTCACTTGACAAAGAAATGCATAATGGGATTGTGAAGAGTGTGAAGACAGTAACCTCATGTTTTAGAGTTACAACTGTAAGCTGAAGGCCCTCTGTTTAGCTGATGTTATCAGAATCCCAAGGTTGGATAAGATAGACTGAGTACACTCTCGGCTCATAAGCCCTTATCAAGAAATCATAACTGTAGCTGTTTTAATTTGTTTAGAAGTGCACTTTTTGCTTAATTGTAACATTTATATTTGAGTTAACTTAAAACACATTGTTACAAAGTTTGCAGTTCTATAAAACCCTTTAGGCTTTATTATATCCTGTATGAGCATTTGTTGAGACTAGTAATTTCTGTGCTGGTTTTTATACAGCTCTGATACTCCTGTTGCCTTTACAAGATAAAAATAAAATTCCAAGCATTCAAACACAGCAAGAACAAAACTAATTAGTTGATGACTATGGGAGAAACAAATGGTCAGTGTTAAATGTCTGATGTAATTGGAACTTTGCTAGAATTAAGCAAGGATTGAAACGTGAGCACAGAAATACAACTTTCTTTCCTGACTGCAAATACCTCCCTTTTCCTTTATCAAAATGTAAAGAACATTTCAAATCCATAGATAATTGACACCTTAAGGAGCTGGTCAGGAGAAAGTGGGAAGGTGACATCAGTCACGGTCCATCATCCATTACAGCCAATTAGAAATTGATCCGGAATCCCTTAAACCAATTAACCTTGCCAAACCTAGACCAATCAGAATAGAATGATGTGATTCACATCCTGTGGCCTGTAGCCTGGAAGTCACAGTTTTCAGTGACCAAGGTGTGTGAGACGTTTGAAGTTATCCTGCTTCCAACTGGAAGCAGAATGGATCGGAAAGAGATTGAATGTCAGCTGTGTCCGGAGTTGAAATGGAAAACAAGAGCCACCGTGTGTCACTGAAGTTACTGTCCAGCTCCAATTTATATTATATGGCATGGTGGCTCAGTGGTTAGCATTGCTGCCTCACAGCGCCAAGGACCCGAGTCGACTCCACCCTCAGGCAACTATCTGTGTGGAGTTTGCACATTCTCCCTGTGTCTGCATGGGTTTCCTCCAGGTGCTCTAGTTTCCTCCCACAGTCCAAAGATGTTCAGGTTAGGTGGATTGGCCATGTTAAATTGCCCATAGTGTCTATGGTGGGAAATACAGGGATGGTGCAGGAGGGTGGGTCTGGGTGGGATGCTCCTCGGACGGTTGGTGTGAACTCAATGGGCTGAATGGCCTGCTTCCACACTGCAGGGATTCAATGATATTTATAACATAAGAAACGATATAATCAGTTACATCAGAAACTGTATAAAACACTTGCATTCAGGTTGTGACCCATAAAGTAATGGGATGATAGAGAGACAGTGAACTCCTCCTGTCTCAGTCATAGCACCGTTGTCTGAGTGCTATGTATGTTTCTGAACTGCATGAGAATTTATCCAGGTTTTGCAACACAGAAACTTACTAGTCCATGTCATTTGAATGATCTTTTGGTATTGTTTGCTCAGGCCAAGAACTTGGTAGGGTCAAGTACCTGGAACAATGCGATAAATGTAGGCCACTGCTGAACACTTAAAGCAGCAGCATTGGATGCCAGAGTCAGCAGCTCTTAACTGTTCTCTAAAAATACCAGCCATCTAACAAATTCCTGCAAAGCAACAAGGTACTGACCTGCCAGGTTGCTTTCTACCACTTCCAATCTCTGACTGGGGACAATACAGCATCAAGTACTAAGTCATCATATTCTGGTTCAAACTCCATCCCTCTCCCTGATCAGTGTCTGATGCTCTCCAGGCTGTTTATTATCTTGATTTCTATTTTACCCAGAGCTGAGCCATATCCTTTCCAGGAGAAAGACTGCTGATGCCTACCATCGTCACATCATGTTACTCTGCTCCTTCCTCAGTTCCTCAGCTGCTGAAAAGCTGATCTATGCCTTTATTATATGTACGTACAACTATTCTCACACGCTCCTTTTTTGCCTCCTGCATTCTACCCTCTATAAGCCTTGAACTTATCCAATAACATGGCTGCCTGCTTCCTGACTTCCACTAAACTTGTTCAACAATCTCGTCTTCCCTGATTAATACCTCAATATTGAAATTCTCATTCTTACTTTCAACTCCTCCCACTGTCTTGCTTCTCACTATTTCTGTAACCACCTTCAGCATTCTAACCATTGAATGTGTCACTCTGAGTTTTCCAGCATGGACAGCCATTCCTTCAACTGTCTGAGTTTTCAAATTCCCACACTCAATGTCTCTGCACCTCTGACCTTCTTTAAAGACTCTTGTTAAAACCACTCCCTTTGACACTTTAGGTGAGCTTCTAATGTCTCCTCAAATATTTCAGAGTCAAGTTGTGTTAGGTAATGCCTGTAAGGCATCTTTAGGAAGCTTTGCCGTGTTATAAGGACACCAGATAGCAAACCTCTGCACTGCTCTTGGAACCACAATGTTATTTCAGCTAATCCAACGAAGCCTTGCCTCAATGGTGACTCAGCCAAGTCACTGATATTGGGTGACCGGGCAATGTTGATGCATTGAAGGGCAGGGCCGGTGCTTAGGCTTTCTCTAGATGTTACCTGCCGGTTCTCAACCCACATCTTTGGATCTTATCCAAAGCTGCTTGTTCCATTATCATAAAAGAGTTACCAATTGAGCTGGAATCATCAGCAAACAATCTCACTTCTGATACAAAAACAGAAGGTGCTGGAAAAGCTCAGCAGGTCTGGCAGCATCTGAGAAGAAAAAAAAATCAGAGTTAACATTTTGGGTCCAGTGACCCTTCCTCTGAACCCCACTTCTGATCTTCTGAAAGTGAATATCTCTGCTGAAGCAACTGAGGACAGCAGGGAAGGCAGTAATCGCACCCCCATCCTGTTTCATTTGACTGACAGCCCTCAGCCTGAGTTTGTTGCATTTGCCAATGATTCACATCTGACCACCCCGCACCCCCACCACCAAACGCAAACTCGGACATACTGTAAGAATGTGTCGGATGGTAGAATTAATGCCTATAGACTTCCTGTGCTTGTCAGAACAAAACTGTCCCCATTGTGCTTGTATTCAATTTTACAATATTTATGTTAATTTTTTTATTGCAGTATTACGGCAAATTTTTCCATTCAGCTTCCAAAATTAAAAGCAAATCCCCCAGAGAAGCATGTCAGTGAATCTATTTCCTGAACTTTACTAAGATACATTTTCTTCTTTAAGAAAAACAACGTAGGGGATGATCCTACAACAAATTTTACTGGTATTCATTTGACTTCCTCGGTTAAGTACACACATTGAGCAATAGGCATCACATTTCTTTCCCATTGTAATAAACTCTAATTACTGAAGGAAAACTTAGGCAAACCTATCTATGGGCATATCAATAAATCCAGTTTAGTTAAAGCTTAAATTCTGCGCTCTCCTCCCAACACAAGTGTGGGTAAAGTATCTTGGTAGTGAGTTAAACATATAATTAGAGCCCTGATGACTTCGTGCAGATGTAAGCAATATAAGGCATTAGTATTTGTTTGTATTCACTCTTTGAAAAGCCTGTGTTTGATGTTGCCATACTTTGATTCCAGAAATATATTCAACCCTGGCAAGATCAATTTCCAGCAACAGTCAAATGCAACTGGAGTGGTAAAATTAAAAAGATAAAAGCAACAAATTTATCATGTCACAAGACATTTGCTTTGAGGATTTAACTGTATTAATAGTAGAATATTTAACTAATTCATTTATTCATCTCCCAAGTTCAGAAGGTAATAGTTTTTAAGAGTTGTGTACAATTCCCAATTTTGTAAGTACTGAAAATGTATAGGAAATATATAAAGTTATCACAGCACAAAAGTATAAAGCCTGTATAAGCTGTTTACAGTGAATGTTATTTAATTGACTTTGCTGTCATTTCTTTCAATCCTAAGCTTCAGAGAACATAGGAGTAGGACAGTCAATCTTTCCAGTCTATTTTACCCATTCATTTACCCCGTGGATGATCTGTACCCTAAATCCATAATTTTCGTCTTGGCATCGTGATAGCTTGCCTAACAAATATTGACTGTGTTAAGACAGAGATAGATAGGTTCTTGATTAGTAAAGGGATCAAAGGTTACAGGGAGAAGGCAGGGCTATGGGATTGAGAAACACATCGGCTAAGATTGAATGGCAGAGCAGATTCAATGGGCCAAATGGTCATTTCAGCTCCTAAATCTCAGACTTTTTTACCAACCAGAATTTTGAAATTTTCAGGGGACCTCACCTCAACAGCTTTTTTTGGGAGAGTTTCAGACTTTCTCCCTTCTTTCTATCAAGATTTCTTCTTGACATGATGCCTATCTCTAAGATTATGATTATGTTGCTGACTTGTTCTGCGTCCACCACTAGAGGAAATAAATTATTTCACTTGATCTAGTCTAACAGCCCTTTTAAATGATCTTAAACGCTGCAATTACATTGCACCTTCATTTTCTATATTCGAAAAGAATACAAAGTTTGACTGTGCAAACTATCCTCATTCTTTAAGTCCAGTAGCCCCAGCATCATTCTGTGCTACACACCCTCAAATAAAAATATATCCTCCCCAACTCATCCATTATGCAAGTTGGAAATACTGTGAATGGGGTCGAACCAGACCTTTATGTAACAGGGCTATTATCTCCATCTTTGATCTTCCAGGAACTTTGAAATAACAGTCAACATTTCATTCGTCAATTACACTTTTCTGGTCCTGTCTTCTGACTTTTATGTTTTCTGTAATTGAACTCCTAAACCTCCCTGCTTTTCCACAGTTCCTCAAATTAGTTAGTAAATATTCTGTCAACAGTATAAGGTGCAATCCTCATCCTGGATAAGGTATACTCAAACTTTTCTTTGCCTAATTTGCAGTAAAATGACATATCAGATTCCTGTATTTTAGTTAATAATCCTCAACAGCTACATTCAGACAGAGAACTCAACAACAATAATCTTTCTCGTACCACCTTCCATAGAGTACTGCAGTGACAAGACCTGCCGACATCCCCTTCTTGGTCATATAATAATTATTGTTAGTCCATCCTCTGGTATCTGCACGATAAATTTTCATCCCATCAGCCAATATTGCTGGATAAATATGGGTTGTGCTGAAATTCCCCCATAATCTAAAGTCTATGATATCAGAGGCAGTTGTAACACTTTGGCCACATGTGTCATAACTGGATCCTGCACACTTCACCAAGGCACACACTTGTGTGTAATAGGTGCCATCCACTGTGTGAAGCCCATCATAGGCTCCTAACGCATACAGGTTACTGGGTGTGTAATTGCTACGTTCGTAGGCTACATGGCAACAGAGGGTGTTGGAACAGACTTGCAAATTACCTTTCAAGCCTGTCAAAGAGATAAATGTGTAATTATCAAACATCATGACGTTATGAAACACATAACCAGGATCACTGCTTTCCAATGGGCCAGTTTGTTCCTGCTTTCCTCCCTCCTTCTGAAGGAGAGAAGCTTCAAGATAATTAGTCTCTTCAAGAAATGCTGACGTCATCTGTGACTTAGACTGTTGTAGGCTGTAATTTTGGGTGGATGTAATTATAGGGACCTTGGCCACAAGAAGTTTACCTTCACTGCTCTCGGAGTTGTAATAATAAGGGAAATCTAATGGGATATAGATGCCACTTCCTGTCATATTATATTCAGGATGATGCTGATTGGCTGCAAAAAGATTGATCCCAAATGCAGCAGCAAATGCTTGATGAAACTCTATTGCAGATAAGAGTGGCAGCTGGTTCATCCAGGCAGTAGGAAATATAATTTGTTTTACACCATAATTCTCGATTAAACTTACTGCTGGCTCATAGAACAATATATCAAAGCAAGTAAAGACGCCAAATCTTCCAGCAAAAGGTGTATTAAAGATGATGTGTTGCATTGTTTTGGGTGTGTCATAAGCAACTTCAAAGTAAAGGTTCCATTTCTGGTATTTAGCTGTGAGAGTACCTTCAGAATCAAAAACCACATTTGTGTTAAACTGATATCTTCCATCTGGCGGACATTTGGGATCACTTTGCTCACAGGTTTGTCGCTCTCCCATGTTTGCAATCAAGTACATACTGCCATTTCTTGCCATACAGCTCAACTGATGAAGGACCTACAATAAATATGAAAACATTGTTGATTTTTAGAATAAACGTAGATTTTATTTCAACAGAGTTAAAGAATAAGAAACCACTTGATGCTCTTCTCCGCAAAATAAAACCTCTCATTCCTTGCTAAAGGATATTTAAGGCTGTGGTTTACTTAACTAAACAGTGAATCATTCCCCTCTTGAGCTATAATTTAGGGAGCACCAGAGCAAATTTCAGGTGAATCCCTGAAAGAATAGGGAAAGATGATTACAGGAGTAGTTAAGTACAATCTTACGTTTAAGATCGTGCTTTCTGATGCTCCAGCCGCAGGTATTCTTCAAATCAACCTGTTCAGAGATGTTATAAACACACCTCTGGAGCAGGTCAAACTCGCATCTGGATCTCCTGGATCAGAGGTAGGGTCACTACCATTATGCCACAATAGGCTAAATGCTCAGGAGTATCATGCCTAACCAATTTAATTGACGTTTTTGAGGAGGTAACACGTAGGATAGATAAAGGGGAAGCAGAGGATGCAATATATTTGGATTCTCAGACAGCATGTGATAAGGCACCACACATGAGGCTATTTAATAAGATAAGATCCTATGGTGTTGTAGGTAGTATATTAGCACAGATAGAGGATTGGTTAACTAATAGGAGATAGAAAGTTGAGATTAATTGGGGCATTTTCATGAATGGCAACCTGTAGCTAGTGCAGTGCCATAGCGATCAGTGCTGGGGCCGCTATTACATTCAATATACATTAATGACTTGGATAAGGAAAGTGAACATACTGTAGCCAGGTTTGTGGATGACACAAATACAGATGGGAAGGCAAGCAGTGAACATGGGACAAAGAGTCTGCAGGGGGGTATAGACAGGTTAAGTGAGTGATCAAAATCTTGGCAGATGGAATATAATGTGAGAAAATGTGAGGTTATGCACTTTGGCAGGAATGTTTGGCAGCAATATTCTCAACTAACCTGCAAAACTAAAAGATCATGAACCCTATTGTTCACCAACTTCAACATTTCCAACAGCTTCCACTGCAACAGCCACAACATTCAACTCTCCATTCTTCATGAATAATTCAGAGACTGATCCGTTTCTGTGCCTTTTAAATTCTCTCTCTTTTTGGACCCACCTCTTATTTCTAATCAGTGTGAAATGTTATTAATTCTTCTTGTATTTAATAACATTGCACTTTTTATTAATTCAAGAAAGGAACACAATGTTATTTGAGTCTGAAACAGCCAGAATGGCTACTGAGCATTGATGTAGCCCTCTGCTCCAGGCCCTGCTCCAAATTAACATTCGACAGTAAAAAAAACGCTGAATCAAGTGCAAAACATATTTCACAGAGACGAAATGTGGTCGTGAAAGTAGAAATTGAAGGGTAAAACTGGACTTCTGATTAATACCGTGCCTAAAATGACCATGTTTAGGACCTCTACAAATTATGGACGACCAAAATCACTTTAAGAAGTTTGTTTTTTAACCGTAGCACTGCCTTATTCTTCCTGACTTGGAATTAGGCTGGGGTGTTTAAAGTTGTGAAATGAAACTCTCATCCTTCACAGCATTCTGATTTCAGTTGTGTGACAGTGCAAGGAACCAATGTTACCCAAACCCCCATCAAACCAAGTTAATGTCACTTTCAAAAAATAATTCAGCAAAGAATTGAATAGGAAGGAGACAAAGTCCAAAACTTGAGAAATTATGATTTAAGAAAAAATTAGGACATATTCGCAATATAAAATTAAAAAAGTGACAAATGCACTATAGTCAGGCCACACGTGCAAAGAGAGTAGAAATGTTAATTTTTTTGAAGGTGAATATTCATTCATTTGTTTCAAAAGCTTTTCATATGCTAAAGCCCTTAACATAGTACTCTAAGATTAAAATCTTAGGATTATATTCCTGCTGCAAGTGCACATTGAAACTTCTGCGATGTTTCTATCCATTAAGGAAAATTGTAGTGGGAGTGCACCTTAATTCCCAGTGCACATTCCTAGCAGGAAAGCTCTCACACCTATAACATGATTTAGAAATGTGACCTTATTGAAATCACTACCATTGTAAATTCCAGAGATAGCAAGAACTGCAGAGGATGGAGTCAGAGATAACACAGTGTCGAGCTGGAGGAACGCAGCAGGCCAGGCAGCATCAGAGGTGCAGGAAAATTGATGTTTCAGATTTGGACCCTTCTTCAAGCATTTCTGTGTTCCTCCAGCTCCACACTATGTGATCATTGTAAATTCCAAATGTTTATAATCACCGTGTACAAAGAGAGAGCAGAAACATAGTGTTTAAGATTACGGATCATTCATGATCATTTTGAATGGCGGAGTGGGCTCATTGGGGTGAATGGCCTACTGCAGCTCTTTATTGCTATGTTACCATAGAACCAACATCAGTGAAACTGTACAATATGAAGCTGCTTATCAATATGAGGTAGCTGAATTAACAGGTGCGTCACTGGGGTTGGGAACCAAATCAAACCACATTTAAACTGGAAGCAGAGCAATACGCAGGCCCTTTTCTTCAACAAAAACTGATAAGTCATCCTTCCAGAGATAGTAGGAACTGCAGATGCTGGAGAATCTGAGATAACAAGAGCTGGATGAACGCAGCAGGCGAAGCAGCATCAGAGGAGCAGGAAAGCTGACGTTTCGGGCCTAGACCTATCTCAAGTCATCCTTCCACATGTGTAGGCCCTCTCAGAAAGTCATAGGCTCAAACCCAACTCTGGAGATATGAGAAATTTCTGTGCAGACTGTCTGTAACATTTAGAGAAATTTATCAAGTGAATTTAGTATTTCAAATAATATACATTAACTATTTGTAATGTTTTCTGGATAAAATGGCATCAGCGTGTCTATTTATAATTAAGAGTTCTGTAAAAGCTGTAAGTAATCATAAGATGTAACAAGTTAAGCTTTGTATAGTTCCTACCTCTGTACCATTATACGCGGATGGATGCAGGCAGGGATTCCATCGAACAACATTAGGATCTGGAATAGGCTCCAAATAAGGAAAAATAGAAGTCCTGTTGAACTGAAAGCCTTGGAGACCATCCTCTGGGAATACAATTATCTTAACTCCCTGTAGTATAGATCATGAATAATTTGATGCAATAGCATGATCACAATTATAAAGAATGCTCAAAGATACAAATTTCTTAAGCATCAATCTCCTGGAAGTTAACATTAACTATGTGGTAAATGGAAAAGCCCTGGGGAAAATTGATGCATAGAGAGATCTGGGTGTTCAGGTCCATTGTACCCTGAAGGTGGCAACGCAGGTCGATAGAGTGGTCAAGAAGGCATACGGCATGCTTTCATTCATTGGACGGGGTATTGAGTACAAGAGTTGGCAGGTCGTGTTACAGTTGTATAGGACTTTGGTTTGACCACATTTGGAATACTGCATACAGTTCTGGTCGCCACATTACCAGAAGGATGTGGATGCTTTGGAGAGGGTGCAGAGGAGGTTCACCAGGATGTTGCCTGGTATGGAGGGCGCTAGCTATGAAGAGAGGTTGAGTAGATTAGGATTATTTACATTAGAAAGACGGAGGTTGAGGGGGGACCTGATTGAGGTCTACAAAATCATGAGAGGTATAGACAGGGTGGATAGCAAGAAGCTTTTTCCTAGAGTGGGGGACTCAATTACTAGGGGTCACGATTTCAAGGTGAGAGGGGAAAAGTTTAAGGGAAATATGCGTGGAAAGTTCTTTACGCAGAGGGTGGTGGGTGCCTGGAACGCGTTGCCAGCGGAGGTGGTAGAGGCGGGCACGATAGCTTCATTTAAGACGTATCTAGACAGATACATGAATGGGCAGGGAGCAGAGGGATACACATCCTTGGAAAATAGGCGACAGGTTTAGATAGAGGATCTGGATCGGTGCAGGCTTGGAGGGCCAAAGACCCTGTTCCTGTGCTGTAATTTTCTTTGTTCTTTGTTCTAACCAGAAACTTAACCGGACTAGCCAAACAAATACATCATTTATTAGAGTTAGAGATTCAGTTAACTCCCCGAAGCCTGTCCACCATCTACAATACACAAGTCAGGACTGTGACGGAATATTCCCCTCTGCCTGGATGGGTGCAGCCCCAAGACATTCTTGAAATTTGACACCATCAAGACAAGGACAACCTGCTCGAGTACATGTGGATGTGTCCCATTCACTTCCTCCAGCCTGACACATAGCGAAGCAGTGTGTACCATCTCCATGATACACTGCAGTAAATCACCAGAGCTCCTCCAATAGCACAATCCAAATCTAGCAAATATCTATCACCCACAAAGGATCGAGGGCCTGGTATCAAAACTGCCTGAAAGTTCCCTTCCATGCCACACACCATCCTGAACTGGAAATATCCCTTCACTGTCACTGGATCAAAATCCTGGAACTCCCTTACGGTAGGTGTCCCTACAATCCTAGGACTTCAGAAGAAAGTATCTCACCACCTCCTTCTCCAGGACTATTAGGGAATGGGCAATTAATGCTACCTATACCAGTGATGTCCACTTCTCGTGAACAAACAAATAAAAATTGGCAGCATGGTGCTGAGATTACGCTGAGATTGCAAGGTCTGTATCCACGCCAAATAAACTATTATATATATAATTTTCAGAAAAAATGTTAATAAATCCCTGCACAGGAGGCTACAGTGCAAAATCAATCCACATGGGTTTGGGGATAATATACTGAAGTGAATTAAGAACTGGATAGCAGGCAGGAAACGGATAGTAGGAATAAATGGATTATTTTCAAAGCTGAAAGCAGTAACAACGGAGTTACTGCAGGGATTGGTGCTTGGGTTCGAGTTGTTCACAATATTTATCAATCATTTAGATGAGGCAATCAAGTGTAATATTTCCACATTGCTAATGTTTCAAACCTAGGTGGGAGTGGAAGTGGTGAGGAAGATCTTAAGAGGCTTCAGGTTGAGTGGACAAATGCATGGCAGATTCAGTGCAACAAATAAAGATGTGAAATGTCATCCACTTCAGGAGGAAAGACAGAGTGGCAGAGTATGATTTAAGTGGGAATGTCGTTATACAAAGGAGCTGGGTGTCTTTGTGCACTGGTCATTGAAAGTACGCATTAAGGTGCAGCAAACAGTTAGAAAGAAGTGGTATAGTAGCCTTCATTGCGAAAGGGGTTGAATACAGGAGCATGGGCGTCTTACTGCAGTTGTACAGGGTCTTGGTTAGACCATACTTGGAAGATTGCATGCAGTTTTGGTCTTCTTACCTAAGAAATACTTGCTCTAGAGACAGTGTAGTGAAGGTTCATGAGATTGATTCCTGGGACGTTGATTTTGTTGTATGGAGGAGAAGGTTGATATGACTGTCCCCATATTTAATACAGCATAGGAGAATAAGAGGGAATCTCATTGAAACCTATAAAATTCAGATAGGATGGGACAGATTGGGTGCACAGATGAGGGCTCCCTTGCCTAGAGTGAATGTGAAGATCCAGAACAAGGGTCATGGTCTCAAGACATAGGGTAGGCCATTTCAGACATTTCTTCACTCAGAGCATGGTCATCCTGTGGAATTCTGTACCACAGAAGTCTGTGGACAACAAGTCACTGAATACATTTAAGAAAAAAAAAATTATAGTAGCTAATGGAGTAACGGGGTATGGAGAGAAAGCAGGGTTGAGCCCGGGGCTCATCCACTCCTGTCTGCTTTCTCTTTTTTTCTTCTTTCTCCTGCTGCTCTTTCTTCATTTTCTTTCTTTAAAGCCTAGAGAGTGGCGACAGCCGAGTGAAGGATAAAGGAGGAGGCCTCCAGCAGCAGTGGCAACAACACCTGGTGAGCAAGGAGCAGGTTCCAGGCTGACTCCCCCGGCCTGGACTCACAGGCTGAGCTGACACTCCAGGTCTGCTGCAGCAAGGCCAGGGCGCCTGAAGGAGCAGAAGCATTGGCAAAAGTTATGGTGGAGGATCCCAACCACCGACAGCGTCAGGAGGAGCATCGATGGGGAACAAGAGGTATGGAACCAGCTCAGATGTGGCAGTCACGGGAGTGGCGGTGGTGCAGGCCCATAACGGAGACTCCAGAGCCCGTTTCAGAGACCCTGGCCAATGTCAAGCAGCAACTGGAGGAGCAATGGAGGAGGAACAAGAGGAAGAGAGAAAGCCAAACTCTACTGCAGTAAAACCTTGCAATCTATTCTATGTTTCAAAATGGCACTGGAGTGTGGCAACACTATGTATAACATATGAAAAAACACTTTTCACTGTATTTTTATATACATGTGACAATAAATCTAAAGCTAGAGTGAAGACAAAGGATCAGCCAATGATATTGAGATAAAGAATCAGCCATGATCATTTTGAGTGATTGATTGGGGCTCAATGTAGCTCTTAATTTCTATCTTTCAATAGAACCAACATCAGTGAATCAGTACAATACAAAGTTGCATATCAATATGAGGTAGCTGAATGAACATGTATGTCCTTAAGGATGGGAAGCAATTTAATTTAAACTGGAAGTAGAGCAATACTAGTATATGTTGGACTTTCTCTTTAACAAAGTCTGGTAAATCATTCTTCTACACATGGACAACCTCTCAAAAAAAAAAAAACAGGTTCTAGCCCAACTCCAGGGACTTAAAAGTTTAGTTATTAAAAGTAGTAACAGAAAAGGAAAATTCAAAAGTTAAATATCCAAGTGGAGGAGGACCATTTTCAGGAAAAGGGATCAGGTCCAGGTAGAAATAAAGATTTGGCAGGTAACAGGAAATAAGCAACGAGAACTCTTTAAAGTGGAGTTAGTTCAAGTACAGGGTAGGCACGTTTCTGCAAGAAAAGGTGCATAAGAGATTTACCAGCATGCTGCCTGGGCTGGAGTGATTTCACAATGAAGAGAGACTAGGTTGGCTGGAGAGCAGAGAAGGCTGAAGGCGGACCTGATGGAGTTGTACAAAACTCTGAGGGGCACAGGCCCACTAGTGCAGGGGCCAATAACCCAAGGAGTACAGTTTTAGGGTAAGGAGCAAGAGGTTTAAGGAAAGATGTTTTTCACCCAGAGAGTTGTGGGTATCTGGAATTCACTGCCTGAAGAGGTTGATACAGGCAGAAACCCTCAAGAATATACAAGAAGTATTTAGATGAACACTTGAAATGCCATAACATACAAGGCTATCGACCAAGTGCTGGAAAATTGGGATTAGAATAGATGGATCTTTGATAACCAGCGCAGATACATGGGCCAAAGGGCCTCTTTCCGTGCTGTAAAGACTTTATAGCTCCATGCTTTTTATTTTTCATTTAGTAATACTCAAGTTCTGTGATTTAACAAAATGTGTATTTTTCAGCAATCTTTAATGTTCAAAATAACTAAACATATAGGTATTCAAAAGGCTGTGAAAGCAAGATTGGGGCTGATTAGACTTTAGTAGTATGGAGAAACTAGAGAAGCTGATGTTATCTCCTCAGGGCAGTGAAGTTCAAAGGGAGATTTGACAGTGGTGTTCAAAACCTTGACAAGTTTTCACACGGTAATAAAAAGCTGAGTTACCATTGTGGGTTCGGATACTTCTTCAGAAATCAGAAATCAGATGGTGCTAGAGACAAACCAAATCGCTCGAATAACTTGATGGGTATAAGAGTCACATGATGAGGGTCTAACCAAAGTAACAAGTAATCCATTTTCTGAAGAAGGGTCCCGACCTGACAGGTCAACTTTCCTGCTCCTCTGATCCTGCTTGGCCTGCTGTGTTCATCCAGCTCTACACCTTGTTATCACTGGAATAACTTGATGGGTATTAGAGTCACATGACGAAGATCTAACCAAAGTAACAAGTAATCCAAAACTGTACAAACTAATTCTGATAATGTCAGATCATCGACATGGATACTACCATCACACATGGGAACACCACTCACCACGTGCACGGTATGTACTCATGTAACTCGGGCAGTGTTGTCTACCTCATACGCTGCAGGCAAGGATGCCCCGAGGCATGGTATATTGGTGAGCCTTCCTGCTCCTCTGATGCTGCTTGGCCTGCTGTGTTCATCCAGCTCTACACCTTGTTATCGCAGATTCTCCAGCATCTGCAGTTCCTACTATCTCTGAAGTTATTCCAGTGATTCGGTTTGTCTCTAGCACCATCTCAATTTTGATTTTTTTGTAATTATCTCTCTGCCTTAATTAATCAGATTATATGTCATCCCTTCATTTGCTATTTAACTGTTGACACATTACTCACACTGTCTGACACTTTTGATCACCTGCAAAGACATGTTATTCAGCTCGTCGACCCTCCACTCATACCATTTGTACTTATCTTTTGACACTTTAATTACCTGGAATTATCTTGCCATTATCTCTCTGCATATATATTCTGCGCCTGTGCACTTCCTTCGATGAAGGAGCAATGCTCTGAAAGCTTCTGTTGTCAAATAAACCTACTATAACCTGGTGTCATGTGACTTCTGACTCCTTCCAGAGAAGCCATGATGTGAAGGTGCGGGTGTTGGACTGGGGTGGACAAGGTCAGAAATCACATGACACTAGTTATAGTCCAATAGGTTTATTTGACACCACAAGCTTTCAGAGCCTCAGTCCTTCTGGTATCCTTGATGATATACTTTACCACTAACAATAAGCCCAGGATCAGAAATTTTGCGTTGGCAATAAACTGACTTTTCATAGGAGGTGGCCCATAAATAGCACAGACCTTGCGCTCTAAGGGAGGCAACCCCAATATGGAACACAAAGTGACATTAAATATTTAACAAAGTGAGAGTTTGGCTCACATACCATTATTCTTCCGAGAATATTCTGCTATCAACGTCTGCATTTGTTTCACTGACTCCCTAATATTATCAGAATAAAATAAAGCCACAACTTCAAAGGTCAATAAACACTTTGTGATGGACAGAGGGATCAAACTTCATTTACCTGTTTGCTTGCTGCAAAGACTTGTTCCTGATAGATATCTAGGTTTTTTTTCATGTGTCTCAGCGCCCCCTGACGTGTGGAAGGGATTTTCCCGGATGGATTTAGCACTGCTGCATGTTCATAGACCGCCGCGGTGTAAAACTCCTGCCCCCACGCCGGGATTACCAAACATTGCCATCCCAGCAGCAACCATCTCAAACCAAATGTCTCCATTTTGTTGCAACAATAATCGGCAGCACTACACTGCGATATTTGCACCTAAAGTTTACTCAACAGCCACGTCAAATGTGTATTGTGCAAAAGAGGCGTGGTCGAAAATGATCTGTAATCACCTATTATTAACTGTGCAGAATTGGATTGTTGTCTTAAAACTGGAATATCATTCGGACTGTCCGATTACCATATGGGATAACTATTGGTGTTGACTAGTAAACTAACTTCCCATGGACTTTGCTGCACTATTTTAATAAATTCCTAATGTTTATCCAGTTAATGAGTGAAAGAGTAATACACGTATTATTTTTATGGGTTTATTAACACCAAATCATGAGAACTGTAGCAAAATATAAAATGCATTTGTGAATGTTGTACACGATAATTATAAATGACAAGCAGCATTTCGTCTTTTTTTTGCCAAAAGTCCTGGCTTCAATAAAATTAAATGCAATCCTTCTGAGCTGAGCCGCAAGTTGCCGGCTAGTTATGGAAGGCAGTACTGAAGCTGGAAAGTAAAATGTGAGGAAGTGAAGACTGAATTTTAAAAACTTGGCAAATTTTGGAGGGAGCACACCAATGTTACAACATTTAAAGTAAATATATAAAGTCGAAGTATCAAGTGACCGTTTACATTTGCTATCACCTTCATAACCTATATCATACTTTAGAGTTTGGACAGCCTTTAATCCAAGTCATTAGTACTCATTGCATACTATTCTAATCAGATCTATTGATCAGATCTATTCAGGATCCAAAGATCAATCACACAAAATGGTAGGTCTATGTAAATCAAATGCATTTCGGTTCCTTTAAATGAGATTTTTACTATTAGTGGCTGATCAGTTTCTATCCTTAAATCTATATTGTTTTACTAAACTTTGCCATTTTAATAACAAAAAAGATTGGGTCTTAAGTGACAATCCTAAAAGAGATGGTTATATGTGGTAGTTGGGGTTTGTAGGCAATAAGGGACTAGGACACATGATTTCTTTATCAGAGTCTGGGTGCAGGAAAATGGCATTAGGAAGAGGATCATCCGTGATCTAGTTTAATGGCAGAGCAGCCTTGAGGGGCTGGGTGAGAACAACTTGCTCTTGCTCCTGTTTTCTATGTTTCTATCTTTGTTTCAGCAGCAAATTTAGCAACTTGTATATTTGGTCTCTTTATCCAAGTTAACAATATAAATGCAAAAGTATGAAAAGTAAATTCAGAAGTATTTAAGACATCAACACTCATCCCTGTGGCCCTCCATTCATCAGAGCTGGTCCTTGCCACTCCAATTATTTAGTCCCCAAATTTATGCCTGCTCCCTGCTTAACGCTGTATTGGAACAGCTTGGCTAGGGGAGCAGCAAGTTCTGGAGCTCAGTACCATTGCTGGAATGTTGTTAGGACCCATAGCCTTTGTAGTATCTAGTGCCTTCAGCTGTTTCTTGATATTACATGGAATGAATCAAATTGGCTTAAGACTGGTACCTGTAATGCTGGGGACCACTGGAAGAGGCCAAGATGGAAATTATGCACTCAGCCTGTCTGGCTGAAGATTGTTGTGAGTACTTTAGCCATATCTTTTGCACTGATGTGCTGGGCTCTTCCACCATTGAGGATATTTATAGTGGCACCTCCTCCAGTGACATGTGTATTGTTCAGAGTCTGTTTTTTAATGAAGTTAAATGTGAGTTAATCTCTTCACCTGAACTATCTCTATTTGTTTGCTATAGTAATACTTTATTTCAGAGTTCAACAAGTTCAGCAGATTTATTTTAAATAGGCTGAGAACACATATTTGTCCCTTGTGTTTGCTCACAGTTTCCAATCCATGCTGGCCTCGCATCAGGCTTGAAAATTAGATGAAAAGCCTTAGTTTCCTTACAGCCTGCCCTCAAGTGTCTCTGGGCAGAATCTTTGCATCTTCCTGTGGAGAGCTTAATGTCAGGGAGCTATTAATCACACAGGAAAGTGGCAGGTAGGGATTCTGCGCCTTCGCACCTACCCCCTAACCCCATTACATTCTGGTGGGGCAAGTTACTTGATTTTCAAGTGACAGATAAAATATGGACTTGAGAAATTCTCTGGTCCTCTCAGAATCTGTCTTTCCTCATTCTTGCTCATTGTTATTTGGCCTAGCTCTCAATTGTCCCAATGCAAAATTTGTATCTCTTATTATTTAATGTTATTTCGTCTGGTTGTTACCAGTTGTGTTTACTATTATACAATTTGTCTTAAAGTCAATTTCTCTATGGAATATGTGGCAATGCTTTAGTGAAGTAGAAAATTTGTTCTCATTCCATTGGCCCCATTAACCAGCTCATATTCATGCTGTCGTTAAGTAACTGAGAGTGGCTGAGGTCTATTCTTAAGTAAAAGATGAGGATGTGTCTCCGTATACTATTTGTTTTACAAGCAATAAATCACATGTGCACTTTCATACTGATTTCCCAATTACATGCTACATATGTCATCTGACGGAAACCATTCTTGGACTGAGGGGGAATCCTATCAGATCAGGAAAAGTGTCTCTTTCCTTAGCTCCCCTTGTATTGGCCCATTATATCATATTGTGGTCAGCCTAACATCAGGCACATTTATCTTGAAAATGTCCACAGGAAAGATACAAACATCTTAAAGAGAAAGCTGTCAATTTTCTAATCTCATCTACTCCTCTCTGCTTTTTGCTAAAATCTTCTGGACTTCTTGGAAATTCTCTCCTAAATTAATATAACAGTTTAAATTCAGATTCTGCCAAAGTCGTTCTGGATTTTTCCTAGAATTCTTTTCTTATCTTTCACATCAGGTAGATTGAATTTTAGAGATACTACCTCATTGCGTACACTGGGTTCAAATATCCAAATCTCAACTAATCTCTTTAACTTCCCATGGTAACTGAACCTTGCATACCATTGGGTACACACTTGTCCACTTGGGGAGGCAATGGCCTAGTGGTATTAACATTGGACTGTTTATCCAGAGACCCAAGTAACATCCTGGGGAGCCAGGTTCAAATCCCAGAGCAGCAGATGGTGGAATTTGAGTTCAATAAATATCTGGAATTAAGAGTCTAATAATGGCTATGAATCCATTGTTGGCTGTTGGGGGAAAAAACATCAGGTTCATTAATGCCCTTCAGGGAAGGAAACTGCCATCCTTACCTGGTTTAGCCTACATATGACTCCAGACCCATAGCAATGTGGTTGACACTTAACTGCCCTCTGGCCAATTAGGGATGGGCAATAAATGCTGACCTAGCCAGTGATGCCCACATCCTATGAATGAATAAAAGAAATCCTACTATATGGCACTTATTGTTTAAATACATTTCATTCCCTCAACTTTTCCTTAGAATTTTCTCCCTGTCATTTGGTTGCCTCAATCTTCTATCCTAAGGTAAGCACATCTAATTCTATCTCATTAACGAGTCCTGAGGAACTTTACTACCCAGTACAATAATCTCATAATACCTTTTAAACAATAATCGGACATTCCCAAGATGTCTCTGTTTTTGGCACAATAACTGTTCTTATTTGTTTTGTATTCTGGATGATGTTTTACTTTTTTAGAAAGAAGGTATTTAATTGTGCTGAACATTTTATCATTTCAAAATTCCCCAAGTTATAGTAATGTTATTTGACAGATGGTTGTGTTGATGTTCAGTTATATTCCCACATACCAACACCAAAAAAAAAAATTTCTTGCTAAGCAGATACCATTGAGACAGTTTCACTTTTTTTTTAGTTTCTTTAATTGAAAATTTGATTGTCCACTTAAGCATCAGGTGACATGATCATGGAATAGTAATTCAAATCACTTTATTTTTTGTTAACTCAAATCTCAAACATAATTATGTGTTTGTAGTTCATTTACTGATAATGTCCAAATCACCACTTTCAAGCGTTCTGTCTTGGAAGATATCAAATGTCCTGGAATGGCTTAGGCTGAGACTTTAAAGGCAATCCTGCAGTTAAAATGCTGTGACATTTTAATTTTTGCAAATCAGTTCAAAGTATCAATATGCTGTATCAGTATTTATGTAGACCTGGCAACATTGACTAAAGGAAACAAAGAATCCTTTATAGTTCTGCTAAATGACGCCACATGACATGCAATGAGGATCATACTGAAGATCTGTGTGTACAGATAAAGCACAGACACAATTTTGGTGCAATGTGGCAGCTACAGCATAGAAACTTTGCTTGTTATGGAAGATAACTTGGTGGCCAGTGTCTGATTGCAGTGGGAAGTTTCCACATAGATAGTGGTAGTTGGAGAAGTAGAAAAGGCTGACAGACTTTACCCCAAGCTGTCTCACCTACTTCCAAAAGCAGAATCCGTGGTAATTATTTCAAATAGGCCCAATGGCAATTCAGATTATTAATGTGACAGCCAGCCATTGTCTTGCATCTTCAAGTCATGCTTTTTGGGGAAGTAAATATTGTCACTGTGTTATTTCTAACATCCCATTTCTTTTTGTAATCCACTGGCCAAAACTCAGGATTATAACAAAGAATGCAAAAGTATTATTATTGTAAACTATCTGCAAAGCATTTGAAATGGTGCTATTATATTTAATCCAAGTTGCATTTAGAAATAATCTGCAGCAGAAGCTAATCTTTCTCGTACCACCTTCCATAGAATGCTGCAGTGACAAGACCTGCCGACATCCCCTTCTTGGTCATATAATAATTATTGTTAGTCCATCCTCTGGTATCTGCACGATAAATTTTCATCCCATCAGCCAATATTTCTGGATAAATATGGGTTGTGCTGAAATTCCCCCATAATCTAAAGTCTATGATATCAGAGGCAGTTGTAACACTTTGGCCACATGTGTCATAACTGGATCCTGCACACTTCACCAAGGCACACACTTGTATGTAATAGGTGCCATCCACTGTGTGAAGCCCGTCATAGGCTCCTAACGCATACAGGTTACTGTCTGTGTAACTGCTACGTTCGTAGGCTACATGGCAACAGAGGGTGTTGGAACAGACTTGCAAATTACCTTTCAAGCCTGTCAAAGAGATAAATGTGTAATTATCAAACATCATGACATTATGAAACACGTAACCAGGATCACTGCTTTCCAATGGGCCAGTTTGTTCCTGCTTTCCTCCCTCCTTCTGAAGGAGAGAAGCTTCAAGATAATTGGTCACTTTAGACTGTTGTAGGCTGTGATTTTGGGTGGATGTAATTATAGGGACCTTGGCCACAAGAAGTTTACCTTCACTGCTCTCGGAGTTGTAATAATAAGGGAAATCTAATGGGGTATAGATGCCACTTCCTGTCATATTATATTCAGGATGATGCTGATTGGCTGCAAAAAGATTGATCCCAAATGCAGTAGCAAATGCTTGATGAAACTCTATTGCAGATAAGAGTGGCAGAAGGTTCATCCAGGCAGTAGGAAATATAATTTGTTTTACACCATAATTCTCGATTAAACTTACTGCTGGCTCATAGAACAATATATCAAAGCAAGTAAAGATGCCAAATCTTCCAGCAAAAGGTGTATTAAAGATGACGTGTTGCACTGTTTTGGGTGTGTCATAAGCAACTTCAAAGAAAAGGTTCCATTTCTGGTATTTAGCTGTGAGAGTACCTTCAGCATCAAAAACTACATTTGTGTTAAAGTGATATCTTCCATCTGGCGGACATTTGGGATCACTTTGCTCACATGTTTGTCTCTCTCCCATGTTTGCAATCAAGTACATACTGCCACTTCTTGCCATACAGCTCAACTGATGAAGGACCTATGATAGAACAGATATGAAAAGTCATTAAATTTTAACAGAATTAAATTACAAGGGATCATTTATGCTTTTCTCTGCAAAATAATCTCCTTGCTCACTAATGGGTACTTAATGAAGTGGTTTATTTAATGTAATGTGGTATGAAATCTTATAGGGTAATATCGGCTTGTGCAACATATGTAGCAGAATCAGACAAGTCCAACAACCAACCATCCCATCAGAAGCATTTTACACAGTTCTTTATGATTTTCATGAGCAGGTGAAGCAATTTTCGCACCAGACTTGCAGCAAAATAACCTTCAGAGAACTCAACAGAATTCTCACTTAGCTGAATAGAACATCAGATTCAGCCAGTTCTACATGAATTGTTATTCACGGAAGTGTGTAATAAATATAAAGGCAGAACCCTGAGGAAGGGAAGAATGAAGAATTGTCAGTCTAAATATGAAACAGCTGAGGAAAATTTGATTTTATTTGAGGTTGACCATAGCTTCTTTGGCTGAAAAGCCTTTCATAGGCCAATTTCATTAACATGCACTCTTCTGTTAATTAATTAAATAAATATTAGAGATATTTTTACACAACTGCACTCAGTGAAAAGCCTCACCTGCTCTGAGCGCATATTGGATTTTCTGTGATGGGTTTGGATGAAAAACTGTGGCAGGAGTGTAATATAATCCTCAATCCACACTCCTTATAGGAAGTCTCCATATCAGGAGAATGATTCAACAGCATTAACTTGTCAAAATCAGTACCATTATCAAAATCCGCTTGTTAATACTGATGCAAACACATTTATACATACACAATGCTTTAAAATGCGGAGACATTTATCAAATAAAATCAATTCTGCATTCCAAACAATGAGTGCCAATCTTTTTGCAAAGTATCCTGTATAAACTGGCATCAGTATTGTCTAAATGGTTATAATTGAGAGCTCCACAAAAAGCTACAAATGTTCTTAAAATGTGAAAACAAATAAACTAATGCAAACATTGCTCAGTTCCTACCTCTGTATCATTATATACAGTTGGATGCAGGCATGGATTCCATTGAACAACATTAGGATCTGGAATAGGCTCCAAATATGGAAAAAGAGCAGGTCTGCTGAAGTGAAAGCCGTGGATACCATTCTCTGGAAATACAATTATTTTAACTCCCTGCAGTATAGATCCAAAACAAAATAATTGATGCATTAGCATGATCACAATTAGAAATGAAGTCCCAAAAGTTAAATTGTAGAACTATAGTGATTATTTTGTCAGGACAAGTGTTATTGCAATATTTACTGCAGGAGAGTGCCAATACATTAATAATGCCAGAGCCTATCCATACAATAATGCTGATGTTATACAGAGCTCAATAAGCCCAGGAGCATGCTAAACTAACAATTATTGTAACCAACTTCAGTGGAATTGAACCATATTAATTTACGTAGCAATATGAAGCAGCTAAATGATCCTATGCGTCAAGAAGGATAGGAACCAAACCACATTTAGCCTGGAAAAGCAGCATTTGGTGAATGCATTGGCCCTTCTCTTTAACAAAATTGATAAAACAATCTTCTGCATGTGTGGGACCTGTCAAAAGTTTATAGATTCAGGCCCAGATCCAGAGATACAAGCACTTTAAATGTACAGCAGTGATGAAAAAGTAAAAGGCAAATTCAGACATAAAACATTCAAATGGAGACGGACTAACTTCAGTGAGTTGAACATGCATCAGGGCCAGGTGAATGGACTCAAAGTCTGGTCAGTAATATAGGCAGAATCAATGGGAAGGCTTCAAAGTGGAGCTGGCTTAGCAGAGCTATCGGCTAAAAGATGTAGCAATTAAACTAAAAGAGGGAAAAGGAGGAGTGAGATGTTGACCCTCCCCCCATGGTGGCAGAGGGCATTTAATTGGGTAGGAGGGCAGTGGGATCCACATTGCCTTCCTGCCTTGACCTTGATTAATTCCATGATGGGAATGCCTGTGAGCAGCATTTCCTCCCACTACCAGAGAGGTCTTTAAGAGGGCAATTAATGCTGCTATTGCTTTTATTCACCCGGCCATAGACGGGGACTTGCTGTGTGGTGATACACCTTTTGGTGTTGCTGGATGGCTTTCAGGGGATACCTGTAAAAGATATTCAGTGCCTTATCGAGCAACCCAGCGTACGAGTACGTCTGTGGGTCAACCTGCTGTTCTTGTTGTTCCCCTCCCTGCTCCTCCATTTTGTGACTACTTCCTGCTATCATTCACATCTGAGCGTGGCTGCTGGTGATGGATCTGTGCTATAGCTGTCCAATAGAGCTGCTGGTCTATGGGTGGTGGGGTGAAGCCCCAGGGGTCCCCGACCAGCCTGGTCATCTGCCTGAGTATTACATAATGCAGCAGTAGTGAGGTGAGGCAGTATCCAGGCAGTGGCTGAAATCCTCACCACCACGACTCTTCTAACAAATATTTCTGAAAAATGTCAGGCTCCTGATTCAGTCAGGAACTAAGGTGAGCAGAAAAACAAATTACGGAGAAGAACCAGAAAAGGAAATCCGATGGGAGCTTACCACCACTTTCACAAGGACAGCTAGGGACTGGCTGTGATTGCTGGGCAGCCAGAGATGCCTATGTCTCATGAGTGAAGAATAAAAAAATAACAGCACTGGTAGGAGAATACTTGTGGCTGTATAAAATAAAACAAAAGGTTTTGTAGATATTTAAATAGCATAAGGATAATCAAAGGGAAAGTGGAGCTGATTGTGGACTAAAAAGAGGTTTTTCTGGAGCAAAAGAGAGAATGGCTAAATGAGTACTTTATATCTGTCATCACCACAGAGAGGATGCTGCATAACGGTAAATGAAGAGACTGTACAGAATTTGGATAGAATGAAAATAGAGAACGAGGATTTATTACAGAGGAAGAACAGGAGACTTAGTTGATTTAGAATTGCTCCTTTAAAGAATACAAAGGAATGAAGAGCCTTTTCTTTGATGTTTTAATCTGTCAGAATCTAAAAAAGGTCAAAGCAGTAATGGTTAATAGGGTGATTAATAAGACATATGGGACACTGGCCTTTAACAGTTCTGGCATAGATTATAAAAGCAGGGGGTTTATGTTAAAACTGTGCAAAAGTTTGGTTAGGCCACAGCTGGAGTACCGTGTACAGTTCTGGTTACTGCAGCATAGGAAGGTTGTGATTGTATTGGAAAGGGGTGCAAAGGCAATTCAGCAGGATGTTACCTGGGATGGAGCTGTTTAGCTATGATGACAGGTCATAATTTTAAGAAGAAGAGCAGGAGTTTTAGAGGGAGTTTTATGAGACAGGTTTTCACTCAGAGGAAGCTGGGAATGTGTAATGCACTGCCTGGGAGGGTACTTGAGGTGGGAAACCTCACACCTTTAAAATGTACTTGGATGAGCTCTTGAAATGTCATAACAATCAAGGCTATGGGCCAAGTGCAGGAAAGTTGGACTGGTGTAGATAGGTCAGTGCAGATTTGATGGACTAAAGGGCCTCTTCTGTACAACTCTATGACTTTCTAAAACATTTTGCTGTTCTCTTAAGATCAGCTATTATCTGGTTATAACGCGTCTTACTGCAAAGGGTGAATAAATGCGACGTGTTGTGCAGGGGGATTAAACACGAGGAAGTTGCTTTACCTGTTTGCTTGCAGCATTGACTTGCTCTTGGTAGATATTCAGGTTTTCCCTCATTATCTCCAGTGCCTCCGAACGTGTTGAAAGGATGGTTGAGTTTAGCTGAAGGACTGATGGGTGTTCATAAACTGCCGCAGTGTAAAAATCCAGCCCCCACACTGGAATTACTAAGCATTGCCAACACAACAGCAACCCTCTCAAGAAAAATGTTTCCATAACTGAATGATGTTTCAGTTAAGTCGCCGAACTAGAGTCCGGAGCTTAGTCTGGATATTTATACTTCCATTGTTGCTCAACAGTTAACATACAATCTGTACTTTGGAAGGAGACAGAGATTAGATTGATCTGACAACTCATCATCATCCTTTAGGCATTGTGCAAAGTTGGACTGTAATTTAGTAAACAGCATATTACCTGGATTTTCTGAACATGACACGTTTGTGTCAACTAGTAAACAACTCCATAGACTTTGCTGCGCTATTTAATAGTTTTGTCATGCTTACTCAATAGTGTTTCTAGTCATTGTGAAGTTTCACATATACAAGTTGATGAAAATAAATGTGCCTATTTTTATTATTGTTTGTATCTGTACAGCTGAATCTTTTCAATATGATTTGCCTTAAACTAAATGAATGAAACAGTTAGAGCAATAGGTGTTCATTATTATCATAACATGCAACATCAAATCTTGCTGCAGTGGCTGAGGCCAGCAACTTGATTCATGAGTAACAAAAAGTAGTTGCAATGGGACATTACTCTGGTTGATATTCTGGAGAGATGAAATGAATACAATGGACTGAACATCCTCCATCACCTAAATCCATTTCATTCTCCTGTGAAATTAATTTAAGAGAGATTTTACACTACAAAAAAAAAACTATTCCATGCCATGGAATCAGGAAATTTTTCTGGGTTCAGATTAATAGCAATTGACCCTGTAAGAGTTGAAAGATATGTTAACAGGAATTGGTTTAAATGATAAGATTAGTGGATACATGGCAGGGATAGGGATAGGGCAGGGATAATCTGCGCAATTATAAACCTCATGGTGTTGTGCAAATACAACTACCAAAATAATGCAAGTGTTGTTCGATTAGTCCACCCAATAAAGCTTCCTTGTATCCAGAATTGTTTCAAGTTGCTTCTCAACTATTTTGCGTTTATTGCAATATCCTGCCATCAGACAGTGCACCTGAAAAACATACTGTGCATAACTTCCATTGTACAACAATCAACTGGATTGTTGTATCTACAGCATAATAATCTCAAAACCCAATAGCTGATCATCACATTAAAAGATACATTTATCATACTTGAGTTGAAAAGTATATTAATGATATACTATTTTGAAAATTATTTATTCAGAACTTTAATTTACAGCACCTCAAATTTTGCTGGAGCAGATCACCTTCCCTACTTTGAATAAAAATAAACGTTGTTTAAATATTTATTTATTCAACTCTAAATAAAATATTCTAACCTTTCAATATAACACATTTTCAAAGGAAGTGGTTCCATAATTACAATTATAAAATTGACTAGCTAATGAATTCCATTATTTCAATATAGTTTAAAATTATAATGGCAGTATTCTTTCATCTGTATTTCTACATTCAGTTAACAATGCCACTTTTGCATAAATTCATTAGTGACACATGCGCTAAGTATGTTCTACAAAGACAGGTAGAAAAAAGTCTGAGATTTTCAAAG